CCCCATTTTTTAGTGTTCTATTACGTAAAGCACCCATTAACATAAATAAGAAGTCAGAAACAAACACTAGCCAAATGTCATATAGAAACAAGGTCCTCGTTGGCGCAGTAAATGTCATTTCACGCGCTTTAACGTAACATAATAGGATATTCAACAGTGGTAACCTGGCGTATAAATCTCTCTTTGGGATAACCCAAGCGATGACGACACTCGTAGCGAGTTTGGCGGTACATTGATATTAATAAGACAGCACATCTCAAATGTGCTCCTGTCGAATAGTGCCGAAATATAGCCCGCAGTAGGCAGTCTAAAAATAAACGCAATAGACTGTACACTATAGAATGAACGAAATTGATGTTTTGCTAACAAACAAATTAAGTTCAAGCTAACAAACACATTTATTTTTTAAAATCAAAGCGAAAAGCAGCAAGAATGAAAATAAAAGCCTGAGAGGTCCTCCCTCACTAACCCAAAGATCCTAAAATTATACACCCTCCCATTTACTATGCCCTTGATTATCTTCAGCCTATGATAGCTTAATTAATTAATTTGTGCACGCCCACTTTTTAGCCCCACGAGCCGCCCCTGATCATCATCATTGATATTCTGTGGAAACTCAGAGAGACGAGCTTCTTGGGACCTTCAAGTTCAAGTCTATCGTCCTCAGACACAGACACAGGCGTCGTAATGGAAAGAAAACATGCGAGCTGCCAGCCGCTGCCTGCACGCTGTGTGGTGATGACGTCACACGTCAGACGGCCTGTCCAGTCGGGGCGTGGCGGGAAGAAAGCCTAACCGTTATGGTGACGAAAAGACACAGAGTCCCTCACGACACAGCCAGCGACGATACAGATACGGGAGGAAAGCCTAGCCGTTATGGTGACAAAAAGACACGGAGTCCCTCACGCACGACACAGCAACGATACAGATCAGCTGACGAAACGTAACGAGAGTCATACTACATTTGAACGTCTGTGATCGTTATGTCGTTGTCGTTTATGTTTCGTTTCGGTGTCATTGTGTCGTGGGCTCCTGACTGAAGTATACATACAATCTAACCGTCGACTCGATAAGAGGTCATTTGGTTCGTTCACTCCGATTGAAAATCCCATTTCCCATTTTTCGTGGAGAGTTGCACCCAGCAGTCGTGATTTTCGGGATGTAGAAACATCTTTTAAGATTCTAAAGAAATTATTAACAACTATTATTTTACCGTAATTTATGTAACTTCCTAGATAGGAAAATAATCACATGAATAAAAAAAACAACAACCCAATATTAATAACAACTATTATTTTATCGTATTTTAAGAAGCTTGCTAGATAAGAAAGTACACACATGAATTAAAAAACAACAACAACAACATTAATAACAACAACTATTTTGCCGTAATTTAAGTAGCTTGACAGATAAGAAAATACACAGATGAATTGTAAAAAAGAAATAAGTAATTTAGTAAATAAAAAGATGGCGTAAATAAATGCAGCCCATGACTAGACAACTACACGTAAGGCCACCTGTGATGATGTTTTCAACTTGTGGAAATCTGTGACCTTGACCTAACAGACTTGTGTAGAGAGGGTGATGACGTGTAAGCTTTTCCCCGTGGTTCTGCCTCCCTGGTGTCTGTTTTTGGCGGGTAAGTCTTTTCACGTAAGGCTGGCATTCTGTCATTGTTTTGTTTAAAACCCTATCCGTACACCATGGGGTCATTTTGTACCCCCGGGGTTGTATTCTTCAAATTTTAGAATACTTCTAGAGCGAATATCTCTTTGAAACATTCAGTATTTTTCAAAAAATCATTTTGACAGACTGCTATGCAAAGCGTATGGATCGGATTAACGAGTAAATTTCCTCTTTGGAAAGTGGTGGCACAGAGTTCCCCACGTCGTATGGATACGATAGTAAAACACGACGTACGGATAGGGTTAAACTTGTGAAAATCTGTGACCTGGACCTATCAGTCTTGTGCAGACAGGGTGATGACGTGGTAACTTTTCCCC